AGATCAGTCAGCCAGAGTCCCTCGTGACAGCCCATTGGCCGAGAGATCAGCCAGCCAGAGTCCCTCGTGACAGCCCATTGGCCGAGAGATCAGCCAGCCAGAGTCCCTCGTGACAGCCCATTGGCCGAGAGATCAGTCAGCCAGAGTCCCTCGTGACAGCCCATTGGCCGAGAGATCAGCCAGCCAGAGTCCCTCGTGACAGCCCATTGGCCGAGAGATCAGCCAGCCAGAGTCCCTCGTGACAGCCCATTGGCCGAGAGATCAGTCAGCCAGAGTCCCTCGTGACAGCCCATTGGCCGAGAGATCAGCCAGCCAGAGTCCCTCGTGACAGCCCATTGGCCGAGAGATCAGCCAGCCAGAGTCCCTCGTGACAGCCCATTGGCCGAGAGATCAGTCAGCCAGAGTCCCTCGTGACAGCCCATTGGCCGAGAGATCAGCCAGCCAGAGTCCCTCGTGACAGCCCATTGGCCGAGAGATCAGCCAGCCAGAGTCCCTCGTGACAGCCCATTGGCCGAGAGATCAGTCAGCCAGAGTCCCTCGTGACAGCCCATTGGCCGAGAGATCAGCCAGCCAGAGTCCCTCGTGACAGCCCATTGGCCGAGAGATCAGCCAGCCAGAGTCCCTCGTGACAGCCCATTGGCCGAGAGATCAGTCAGCCAGAGTCCCTCGTGACAGCCCATTGGCCGAGAGATCAGCCAGCCAGAGTCCCTCGTGACAGCCCATTGGCCGAGAGATCAGCCAGCCAGAGTCCCTCGTGACAGCCCATTGGCCGAGAGATCAGTCAGCCAGAGTCCCTCGTGACAGCCCATTGGCCGAGAGATCAGCCAGCCAGAGTCCCTCGTGACAGCCCATTGGCCGAGAGATCAGCCAGCCAGAGTCCCTCGTGACAGCCCATTGGCCGAGAGATCAGTCAGCCAGAGTCCCTCGTGACAGCCCATTGGCCGAGAGATCAGCCAGCCAGAGTCCCTCGTGACAGCCCATTGGCCGAGAGATCAGCCAGCCAGAGTCCCTCGTGACAGCCCATTGGCCGAGAGATCAGTCAGCCAGAGTCCCTCGTGACAGCCCATTGGCCGAGAGATCAGCCAGCCAGAGTCCCTCGTGACAGCCCATTGGCCGAGAGATCAGCCAGCCAGAGTCCCTCGTGACAGCCCATTGGCCGAGAGATCAGTCAGCCAGAGTCCCTCGTGACAGCCCATTGGCCGAGAGATCAGCCAGCCAGAGTCCCTCGTGACAGCCCATTGGCCGAGAGATCAGCCAGCCAGAGTCCCTCGTGACAGCCCATTGGCCGAGAGATCAGTCAGCCAGAGTCCCTCGTGACAGCCCATTGGCCGAGAGATCAGCCAGCCAGAGTCCCTCGTGACAGCCCATTGGCCGAGAGATCAGCCAGCCAGAGTCCCTCGTGACAGCCCATTGGCCGAGAGATCAGTCAGCCAGAGTCCCTCGTGACAGCCCATTGGCCGAGAGATCAGCCAGCCAGAGTCCCTCGTGACAGCCCATTGGCCGAGAGATCAGCCAGCCAGAGTCCCTCGTGACAGCCCATTGGCCGAGAGATCAGTCAGCCAGAGTCCCTCGTGACAGCCCATTGGCCGAGAGATCAGCCAGCCAGAGTCCCTCGTGACAGCCCATTGGCCGAGAGATCAGCCAGCCAGAGTCCCTCGTGACAGCCCATTGGCCGAGAGATCAGTCAGCCAGAGTCCCTCGTGACAGCCCATTGGCCGAGAGATCAGCCAGCCAGAGTCCCTCGTGACAGCCCATTGGCCGAGAGATCAGCCAGCCAGAGTCCCTCGTGACAGCCCATTGGCCGAGAGATCAGTCAGCCAGAGTCCCTCGTGACAGCCCATTGGCCGAGAGATCAGCCAGCCAGAGTCCCTCGTGACAGCCCATTGGCCGAGAGATCAGCCAGCCAGAGTCCCTCGTGACAGCCCATTGGCCGAGAGATCAGTCAGCCAGAGTCCCTCGTGACAGCCCATTGGCCGAGAGATCAGCCAGCCAGAGTCCCTCGTGAGGTGCAGCAAGGGGAGCAGGGGGAGGAATGAATTGGCCTGCAGGGAGTGGGACTGACCATACCCCGTTCCCCTCTCCCTCCCCCCCAGCCACAAAGCACAAGTTAGTCTGGCACAGGGATTCTAATGTCCCCCCACCGCATGCCCCTCACACTCACACTCACTCTGTCTCTGTCTCGCAGACACACACATGCAGCCTGAGCACATTTACCAGCCAGGCAGTTCGAAACTACAAACTGATACATCTAGTAATAATACAACTCACCTACTGAGAAAATACCAGACATGTTCTATGTCTGGTATTTTCTCAGTTTGTTTTTCATGTTTATATTTTGGGGCTGCAAAAAGCAGAACTGAAAAAAAAGGTTCCAATTAAAGTAAAAAGTTTGGTCTAACCAGCTTTCTGTCTGTCTTACAGCCCGTTTATCCGATCCGTATTCCTTAACTTTCTGGCAAGAATATTGTGGGTGACCATATCAAAAGCTTTGCTAAAGCTGGTACTGGGAGATCTGGGAGGACCAGAAACAACTTATTTGAATATTAATCATTTGATTAATGAATATGCAAATGAACATTACTAGTACTCCAAAAGTTCATGAATGGATTTACTGGTCCAGGTGTCAAAAAGTTTGGGAACCCCGGAGCTAGCTAACAGCCCATTGGCCGAGAGATCAGCCAGCCGGGGTTCCCCTTTTCTAACAGCCCCTAGTGACAGATCATTGGACACTGGCTCAGCCAGCAAGTCCCCTTCGGACATCTGATTGGCCGGCAGTAAGAAACGTTCCCTCTGACAGCGCCGCGGCTGCAAATGCCCCTCGTGACAGCCCATTGGCTGCGAGCGCTGTCAGCAAACGTCCCCTCCTGACAGCTGGTTGGATACTAGCTCGGTCAGGAAACGTCTCCTACCAGCCCACTGGGTGCTAGTTTAGTGACAGCTCATTGGACACTAACTCGGAAAAAAATTCTCCTTCGGGCAGCCGATTGGCCGCCAGCTCAGTCATCAATCGGCCCTTTCTGATAGCTCATTGGACATTAGCTTAGTCAGAAACCGTCCCATCCTGACAGCCGATTGGCCGCCAGCTCAGTCATCAATCGGCCCTTTCTGATAGCTCATTGGACATTAGCTTAGTCAGAAACCGTCCCATTCTGACAGCCCATTGGGCGCCAGCTTAGTCAGCAAACGCCCCTAGTGAGCGCTCATTGGCTGCCACTTCAGTCAGCAAACGTCCCCTAGTGATAACTAGCTAAGGCAGGAAATATCCCCTCCTGACAGGCGATTGGCTGCCGTCTCAGTCTGACGATGTCCCTGTCTGACAGCCCATTGGCCTTCTGCTCAGTCTGCAACTGTCCCGTTGACAGCCCATTGGCTGTCAGTTCTGCCCGCCCCTAGTGAGCGCTCATTGGCTGCCACTTCAGTCAGCAAACGTCCCCTAGTGATAACTAGCTAAGGCAGGAAATATCCCCTCCTGACAGGCGATTGGCTGCCGTCTCAGTCTGACGATGTCCCTGTCTGACAGCCCATTGGCCTTCTGCTCAGTCTGCAACTGTCCCGTTGACAGCCCATTGGCTGTCAGTTCTGCCAGCCTGCCCGTCCCCCCCCGGAGCCAGTCTGCAAAGGCAGCTGGGGCAGCGGTGTCAGCCCGAAGCTCAGCTGAGCTGCCCTGGTGCGGACACAGCGCGCCCAGCCCGTGCCGGGCTCCCGTCTGGCTACACTGCAAAGGGGGCCCCGCTCCCAACATGCATTGACGTTTTACCGCCGTGTCCCCAGGCTGCGGGCTTCTAATATGCAAATAAGGGACTCGGCGGCGAGTCCGCTCCTGTCGCTCTCGGAAGGAAACTGCGGGCAGAGACCAGCCCCTTGGCAAATTCCCTCTGCTCTCCAGCGAGTGACGGCGGAGAGCTAGAGCCCGTTCTCACGGCAGTGTCTGGCCCGGGGCTGACACGTGCAGAAAGCCCAGGGGAGTCCAACAAGCAGATCACTTATTCGCTTGGCCTAGCAATGGAAGAATGTGGTAGGGCTCAGAGGGGATGTGTTTTCACACTTAGAATATTATTGCAAAGATAATTTTCTGTTAGATATTTTTAAGGGCGATTTATATTTGGTAAAACCCTTATTTATTGACAGAAATTCTGTAGTGACAGCGTGGTTATTGCCTTATTGGGGCTACAGAACACTTTTCCTTCTGTCTAAAGCAGAGAGTTAGAATTAGAACATTACATATGTTGTTTAAATATTGGTACAATTTTAATTTCACTTATGTGTAGGCTTATTTCCGGTTGACTGTTTTGGTTTATTGCTTTAGGCTTGGGTTTATTTTAACTTGAAATGGAGTTTTTAATTGAGGTTTGCTGAATTGGCATGTCTGACATGAGGTTTGCTGAATTGGCATGTCTGACATGCAATATTTCTGCATATTTTTCTACAACCAGTATTCAAATTGCTTTAATATTTTAGATAGTTTTAATAATAGGGTTTATTTATCTTATGTTATTTTGTCATCCTATTGTTGCTCATGAAACTATTAATTTGTGGCCTTTAGTTTTTGTTTTAAAAATAATTGTTCTTAATGTTTGGATTTCAAATTAAGCATTGTTTGCAGTTTCACGCTTGGGTTTATATTTTAATTTCTGATTGGATATTTAAAAGATTGTGGACTTTATGCTATAATTTGGACAGATTTAGATTATTTAAATGGACTTGGAGTAAAACCTGATACAGTAACTACTTAATTTTAAACCCTGATCAGGTGGGAGAGATGAGCCTGGCCTTTAACTGAGCAGGAACAGAGGGATGGCCCCTGTGAGGGGCTGGGCCCGGTTATGAGGGTGCAATCCC